TAGAAGACGAATCAAAAGTATTAAGCAAAGCAGTTTGATAAAAGGCACATAGACTATGATGCAGGTTAAAGTAAGAAATATAGATAACTGTTCTTAAAAATTTATAGCGAAAGAAGTTTTGATGTTATATGCAAGGATTCATTTGAACTAAAACTTTTTTTCTTTAAAAAATTTCAGGTAAAAGTAGTGCAGACGAATTTGAACAATACTGTTTTATTACTTATATATATATATTTTTGTTACTCTTGATACTTACATAAACTTTTGTTGTTTTTTTTTTTTTTTGAAATCCTATACAGATATATTATTACTCCATTTTTTTAACCACTTCAATCAAACAAGCAGAAAAAAAAGAAGAAAAACAAGTGTTAATCAGCATTAAAATTAGAAATGTAATATTCTTTTTGTTCTTACTGGCAGCTTGTTTCTAAATAAAAAAAAAAAAATAAAGAAGAAAGAAAAAAGACAAAACGTAACTGTATATTAGATGGTATTTTACCTATCTTTTTTGTGAAGACATTATTTGATTAACTTAATTGCTGTGGCTTTCTTTTGTCGTCATTGTTATTTAACCTTTGGTTACTGCAACGATGGTATTTTGTTTTTTTTTTCTTTTAGCTATAATATTCTAGCTTCTAGCTCAAAAAAAAAAAAGAATCTTCTCTTTTTTTAAAATAGAAATTGCAAAAATGCAACTGTTTTATACAAACTGAATAAGCATTAAAAATTGTGGTAAAGTGAAAGAAAGACAGACAGATAAATGGACACTTAGGTGGAAAAATAGAGTGATACGTAGATGAATAGAACGGTGGATAGATAGATAGCCAAATGAATAGATAAATAGATAAATGGATGAATGGAAAGGGCAGATAGTTGATGAAACTGTATGCTTTTTCTCACTCCCATCTTCAGCATCTTTCTTTTTTAGCAATAGTTTTTATTCTCGTATTATAAATTTGTTTTTTCAATTTTTTTTCTCTACTTTTTGCTTTTTGACCGGTTAGTTCATAAGTGTCTTTCTCTGAATTTAGCCTATATAATCAACAGAGCTATTTCATTTTCAACTGAATAAATGTTGTTGGTGAAATTTTTAGTCTTAGTAAATTGACCACCCCTACTTGATGATTTGCTTCAGTTCGCACTCATTTCTGCTCTTCTTTCATCTTTAATCTATCCAATCAACTAACTGGCATTTGTTTCTAATTTATCGCATTTATTACTTCAATTATTAAAAAAATATATATAACATAAAATATATAACATAAAATCAAGAAAAATAAGTTAACGATTGAAAATTTTTGTTAAATACTTTTTAAACGGTGGTGTCTCTGAATTGTAACAGTGAATTTTAAGCTCTTTGTTCACAACCTCCTTTCTTAATTCGTTTTTGTTGTTTGCCGTTCAGCGACGCTTTTGACATCTAAAATGCCTTCCCTTACTTTTTTTTTTCTTATCCACCTCTTTTTTTGTGTTTTTTTTTTT